GTCTACTAATGTTTGTGGTCTTTCATTGATCACCTAGAGCAGGAATTGTTGCTCCAGTGGGTGAAGTTGAAGGAGGTGTGTGTTTGTGCTAGGCTGTGTGAGCACTGTTGTTGTCTGTTGTCAGGTGGGACAAATAAAAAGGGAAACAAAACAGGCAAACATACAAATAACTAAAAAATAAAGCAAACAAGATTGGACAGTGAAAGAAATAGAAATATCAAACTGGGACTGTGGAGTGGGAGAATGGTACAAAAAAAGGAAGGAAAATCAAAATAGAAGGTCAAAGAAGAAAAAAGGGAGGGAGGGGGAAAAAAGCTAGAGAGAATGAGGAAGAAACCAGAAGTGTGCACACAACCACACAAACACAGTCTGAAAAGTAATGAAAAAGGAATTAAAAAATGAGTGGTAAAACAGAAGGGATCTGTGGAAAGGGGTGAGTGTGCTTGTCACCTTATTCATGCATGGAACACTGCAGTGAGGTGTAGAAACCAGGCCTGGTTTTAGACAATGTGTCTGCCAGTAGAAAAAAATAAAGATTATATTTGGGGTGCTCTGGTGACCATCTCCCTCCTGCAGAATAGTTGATGAATTAAAACTTCTGAACTTTCTATTATCAGTGAAACATTTGATGTTCCAGCCCATTAGACTCTTTGGCATATAACAAGTACTCAATAAATGAAGCAGCAAAATGTTTATTTGCATAATTGGTATTGATAATTATGGTACAAGAATGATATCATTATACAGGTAAAAAAATATTCTGAGCTATGAATTTTCTTATCTCCAGTATGGTATCAATGTCTCTTTAAGTATCCCTAGGTTTCTTCATTGGGGACAATGAAGCTTCAGAATCGTTGCCTCCAAGGAGCAGTCTGACTTCACCCTCTCTAGGACAAATTTGTTTGTTCTACTGGCAGTCCATGGTATATTCAAAACCTTTCTGCAACACCACAGTTCAAAGGCATAAATTCTCTTTCTATCATCCCTAGTCATTTTCCAGCTCTCTGATATATAGCAAACAAATCTGTCCTGAAGGAGGTGTAAAAAGAATGTTCCTTCAGAGAAACTGAGACTGTTTCTCACATAGTTTCGGCATGTTATCAGGAAAGGTAATTCCCTGTAAAAGGATGCTATGCTTGGAAAAGCAGAAGGACAAGCAAAAATAAAAGGAATTCTCATGCACTGTTAGTGTGATTGTCAAGTGGTACAGCCACTATGGAAGGCAGCTTGACATTTCCTCAAAAAGGTACAATCTCATATAACTCGGCTATTCCACTGCTAAGATTATAACCTAAGGAAATTAGTGCTGAGACTCTACACCTATGTTCACAGCAGCATTATTCACAATAGCAAGAAAAAATGGAAACAGCCCAAATTAACCTCAGCAAATGAATGGATAGAGAAAAGGTGTTATATTCACACAATGGAATACTATGCAGACTAAAGAACAGCAAAGTATTCATACAATGTGGCAGCACATGAGAGAGTCTAGAGAGCATTATGTTGAGTGAAAGAATTCTGTCATAAGACAAATACTGCATACAACCACTGTTGTGAAAAGAGACTAACTGAACAAGATTTGCATAAATGTTTGAAAGGAGAAGGGGGGAAAAACAAGGGTTCTGTAAAAGGAGAAGGAGAGGAATCAGTAGTGCCAGATGGAAGGTAAAGGAATACTAGAGATGGAGTGGATACTTGAAGAGATGGAGTGATCAAAGGCATAGATCATTAGTAATTAATTATATAAACCACATTGTATTTGAATAACCACATAAAACATGATGCAGATGAAAAAAGAAGAAAAATTTCCCATGAGGTGAGCTAACACAATGGCTGCAACAGTGCATTCAAGCCAGCAGATATAGTGAGGATGGTGCAGGGACAAGTGTAGCATTCTGTTGTATACAGGGCAGGGACAAGAAGTGCTGCATTCTGTTGTTTGCAGAGTCTTTTTGAGTAGGAGGCAATCCTAACACACCTAAAAAAAACCAGAATATATCCAACTGACACTTGAGGGATCAAGAGGTTAGGTGTATCAACTTCTCAAACAGCTGAACATCTATGTATAATTTACAGTTGACCCTTGCACAACATGAGTTTGAACTGTTCAGGTCCACTTATACACAGATTGTTGTTTTCACTATTATAGTGAGCACAAGTGTTGCTAACCACTGTCCTCACTGCTGTCAAGTAGATTCTAGCTCATGGTTAGAAACTCAGCTTTCCACAGCTGTAAATCTTTACTTGAGATTGTCTTCTCTTTCTCCTGCAGAACAGCTAGTGGATTTGAACTGCTGGCCTTCCAGCTAGCAGCCTAAAATGCTAGTATCTATTTAAGGCCCTGTATGATACAAATCAATTCTGCGAATTATCTGTGCATAAGCAGGCTATCTTTCCAGTAAAGTATTTATGAGAGAGGAATTTCTCTATTGGAAATGGTTCATGCCACACGGCACTTAAGTGAATAGCCATTAGACGACAATAACAACAGGGAAAACATTTGTATTTAAGTGGGTTCACAGAGTTCAAAGCTGAGTTGTCAAGGGTGAATTGTATTCATAACCATGGAGTCATAGTAGTACATCAACTCAAATTCAGTATCACAGAATTTATTTTCAATTTCTCCCAGTCTATATTTAGATCTTCCTTCTTCAACAGTGAGAAAGTTGGCTCTCATTTTCTTTAATATATTTACTTATTTAATCAATTATCTTCTAAATAATCAAGCTCCCATACCCATCAACTTAGCTTCCATTGTAGATGCCTCTCAGTTTTACTCAAACTCTGACTTCCATATTTTTCCATGAATGTCCTTCTTAGCCTGACTCAACTCTCACACCCATTATACATAGTGAGTTGAGTTCAGTTGAGTTGAGTTCAGCTGAGTTGAGTTCAGTTGAAAGAGGGGCTCAATTCCTAATGCCTGGAATCTCAATGGCTACCACTCTTCACTCTTCCAAGTGCTCTTCAAACCACTTCATTGAGACGTGCTGTAGTCTTCCTATTTAAACCTCTAACCTTTCTACCCTCTCTCGCTTACAATGTCCCCATTCCTCATCTGTCTACTTTTACTTTTTTCCCCATTACACATATCACCTTCTAATATACTATGCAATTTACTGATGCACTGCGTATTTTGCTTACTATCTTTATCATTCTTGATGAATTCTAAGTACCCCAGGGGTAGGAACCCTTGTCTGTTTTGTTTATGAATATATCTCAGCATCTGAAATAGTAGTACAAAGCATGTAGTGGGCATGCCAATAAATGTTTATTGGATGAAAAGAAACTCTCTTAACAATATTATGATGAAGCCACAGTTATTTCTTTTTTCAGATAGGGAAATTAAAGTTTTAAGAGCATAAATAATTCAATAAAGGTCATACTTGTATTGGCTGAAATCAGACTCCAAGCCAAGTAGGCCTCTTTTTTTTTTTTTTTTAGAAATGCAACCAGGATGCTCTTTAGCAGCAAGGATGGTAAAAGTTCATCGCACAACACTTCTGGCAGTTATCAGGAGGGGCTCGTCCTCGGAAATAGGCATGTAATTGAAAAGGTGGAGAGGCAGAGGCAGAGGGAGAGACCCTCCATAAGATGAATCGACATAGTGATTATAACAATGAGCTCAATCATATCCGAGATCGTGAGGGTCATGCAGGAGAGAGATCTGTTGTTCAGCGGGTCACTGTGAATTGTATGGGTTAGTACCTAACAACAGTAAGAAGACATACTCAAAACGGGAATAGGGAAAGGAAAGGGTAAGGTAAGGAGTTAAGTGAGAAGTTTGGGGAAAGGGCAGAAATAAGTCTTATTTACCAAAATATTCAGTTTGGATAGTTTCATAACAGAAGGTAAGGAGTCAATAATGACATAATTAAATCAATACCACGGGAGGATAATTTAAACAACTACCTACCAAAGCATTGAATATTGCTAGTGGAGAGAAATCTTCCTTTTAATGAGGCTTAATCCATTTTGGTCACAGGATAGTCTTTGAAAAGGAACATCATGCTTAGATGATGAGGCTATCATAGGTTAGGACAGGGTTCAGGTCTGATGTTCATAGGGTCACTAGAAAGCATACTCTACTTGATGGCACTTAAACAGCAACAACTATCAAATTTTGAGGGAGATCTGATGACTTAGTGATAAGGAATTGCACTGTCAAGCCAAAGGTACATGGTTCAATCCACCAGCTATTCCATAGGAGAAAGATAGGTGGTCTCCCATGCTATTTACTGCCTCTGAAAATCTGTTGAAAGGTCAATAAGGGTTAGTTCCAACTTGATGGTAACACAACAGCAATCTAATTCTGAAAATTTCCACAAAGAAAAAAACATTATTTTTTACCAATTAATTCCTTTTGTACTTCCTTCTTCCAGTCCGCATTTAGAAAAAGTCAGAGAGAGCATAAATATTTGTAAAACTGTACTTTATTAATATATATTAAATAAATGAGTTACTTTCCATTGGGGTACAATCACAGTTGTCAACAATATTCTGAAGCACCAGGCATGAGAGCACAAAAGATCTTGTATTTTCTCAGGAGACTATTGGGCATATCAACTGACACATTCAAGGGCTGTCTGATATAGCATTAAAGCAGTGGCTCAGAATGCAGACATGTGCCAAGTAGCAGCGACTGGATGGTATCTTTTGTAAGTGTTCATTGTATCATCAGTTAACATAAATGCACACCCAATGGGGTCTCACTCAAGTCAGCTACATAGCCCCTGAGATAAAAGCCTTGTTATAATCACATAGTCTTGCCTAGTTAATAAGATGAAAGGGGTCAAATGAAATAGTCACAGGGTGCAAGAATTATAAATAATACATATATTAATGGATATTAATTCCCACTGCATAAAAGTTGCCATTATAAATACATTTTTAATTGATCAGTCTAAAAATATATTTCCTATATAAATAATGTAAAACATTAAATATTAATAAATAGATTTAAATTTTAAAATTCAAATATTTTGCAGGCAGAATGATCATTATTTTGATGCCCTCCGGCCCCGGAACAGATTCTGACGTCTTTTGCGCTTCCTCAAGTTGGGTGTGGATGACAGGTAATCTTGCACCACCTTAAAGAGCTCACTTACAGCTTTGCGTTGGACCATCCGGTCATCCACCTAGTTGGGGGGGGGATATTTTAAAAATAAAAAATGTTAATTTTTAGTCTCAAACTACTCTGCTGCTCATGGCACAGTCAGTGAAAATGACAGTATTCTTTGAAACAAAACAACAACAAAAAAATACAGGTGACTCTCACTAGCAATCTATCACTTTCATATACAACTTCGATTTATTCAGCAGTTAAGGCTAAAATGATTCTTAAATTGATAATTATGCTGTAATGTGTTGGATTTGTTGATGTCTGAATTATTGCTGTGGAATTCTCAAAAGTATAAAATGGCAAGAGCCTCGAAGGAGAGTGGGAGAACAAAAACGGTGGTTTGGAAGCCTGTGCACAATAACTCCGGGACATCGAAACAGCCACGTAACCCCAACAAATGAGGAGACTCTGGCATTCTGCAATTCCTGTCACTTTACACTTTACTCTTTGAGTAACAAGTGGTTTTCAACCCTGGTGTTGACCAGAAATATCTGGAGACCCAGGTGAATAAAGCAGAGTGGTTGAATCTAAGTCTTAGTGCCTTCACTAAATTCCTCAGACATTTCAGATACCCACCAATGTTTGAGAACCATTGCTATAGGGTAAGTACTTTGAAAATGCCAGCCAAGACTGCTGAAAATTGTAATTTCTAAATGTTTCACAGTCTAGGTCAATCTCATCATCACTGTAAAGTTATCAACAATCATCAGATTCATGTCATAACCAATAGTAAATTGATCTATAATGTTTAAAATTGGAAATCACAGCAAAATCCTCCTGGCACTTTGCTTTTTATACCAGCAAATTATTTATTTGTGATGCCTCTCTGTAACCAATAGGAACATTTAGGTGATTTTACACTTGAAAAACTTAAGAACCTTTACTTTCATCTTAGCTTTGCCGTTGTATTTCTTTCCAATGCTGGAAACACTGTGGTCAGCTTGCCACATTTCTGAGAATGACTAAAATGTCTAGACCACAGTAATTAATTATTAAGAAGGTATAACATGTCTAAAAGATGTTAGTCACTGAGCTAAGAGGAGAGTTATTGAGGGCTCACTCAAGAATATCCATAACAAGAAATCAAGAGTCTGTGCCAGCCTGAACATCAAGCCAGGACCAGGCTGGATTAAAACAAATGCTTTCTCAATCTCTAGTTTGAAGTTACAGGAAATCTGCTGAACTTTCTAAAACGCTGTACAATTTTATATATTTACCAAGATATCTTCTTGCTATTTAAAGTACTAGAGACTGAAGAAGTCCTTAATAACAAATTTATTTCATTTCCTAAGAGTTTACAGACAGGAGTTGAGGGGTAAGGAAAAGGGAGGAGTGACCTAGGTTGGATGTAAGATCCTGAGATCATAGGTCATAATAGGCCTCCTGTCACTGATGTTTAAGTCCATTAACATCAAAGCTAAACTCAGATAAATCTGGAGGCCTTTGTCTTGTGGATAGTTTTGAAAAATATAACTTGATTTCTGTGTCAAAGGTATCCTTTTAGGATAAACAATTTAAGACGACTTAGAAGTCTAAGGATTCCTTTAACTCAGCTGTTCTTTTATCTAAAAGTTAATATAGTAATTTTTCCGTAAGATATTAATTCCTCTCTTTCACTTTCTTTCCCTCTCTCTGGTCAATCTGAGAAATTGGCCAGAGTCTTGACAGTGGGATGCCTTCTGGTATCTACTGTACCAAACCTATCAAGTCTGAAGAGAGTTTCCAAGCCTATAATCTTTATGGAATCACACTAATGCCTCTTTCTCTCTCTCTCTCTCATGGAGCAAACAGTAGATTTGAACCACCAACCTACAACCTTTCAGTTACTAGCCAAGTGCTTAGCCACTGTACCACCAGGTTTCTTTTCAAACTGTTTTGTCTTATTCTCCCTTTCTATGACATTGTAGAATTATAGGGAAATTATGTGCCAGTTATGTGCCAAAATCGGTACGTTTCTCTCTCTTTTTTTTTTTTACATTTTATTTTAGTACCATCAAATCGGATCTGACTGGTACAGGTACAGGAGGAGATTGTCCCTCCATCTCCAACAAAGCATCTGATGGATTCAAACCTCACACCTCTGGGATTGCAGTGCAGCTTTTTGCCACTAGGCCACCAGAGCTCCCAAGTGCGTTTCTCTTCAGATGAGAAAACTAAACCCCAACCAGCGGTGTGATTCATCTGAGGTCACAGTCTTTTGGCAGCAGAGCAAATCTTCCTACTCCTCCCACTGCTCTTTCCTCTAACACTTGTTACCTCCCATTCAACGTAGAATTATTTCCATCACATAAACAAAGGACAATGAGTGAATTACTTTTCGATTTCTTTCTTTTTTTTTTTTAAAAAAAAGTTCCTCTAGAGTCAACATCAATTCATTTGGGTCCTATGTATGTCAGAAGAGAACCATGTGGTTTTCAATGAGTAAATTTTTGGAAATAGATGGGCAGATCTTTCTTCTGACTGCCTCTAGATAGAGTCAGACTCCAGCATTTCAATTAACAGCTGAGTACTCTGACTAGTTCTACCATTCTGGGATTTTCTATTTCATCATCTAGTTCTTCCCACTATTCTATTTGATTATGGCCATTCATCTGTCTTTATGTAGTTGTCACAGTGCTGATATTTTTCCAAATTGTAAACTTAAATTAATCACATCCTGGGTTTCTAAAAAAATCCAAAGCAAGGCTGAAGTAAGAAGGAGTTCTCACGACGGAGATTAAATTTATTGTTTTAATAATTGTACCCAGTAGCTTGCTGTCTATCCTTTAGAAGTCAAAAAGAACTAAGATCACCTTACCGGAGTTTTAATCAGCTCAGTGAAGTTACTAATTTTTGTTTTGTCACTATTGAAGAATTTAGCAAAGAGATCTTCTCTGATGGCTTTGATGCTGGATTTGATGTTTTCTTTGATGCGCTCGTGGTGTTCTAGGTTTTGGAAGATTTTGAAGTAGATGGAGACAATTTGGCTCTGGAATATTTTTTGGTCACTCTCCTGGGGGTGGGGAAGGGAGAAAACAAGCACAGAGAAGATGCTGTGAATCTGTCCACCAAAATAAACAGCAAAGAAATCGACTTGGTTAAAATGCTCAGCTTACCTCAGTCAAATTCCTCAAGAAACCTAAGAATAGAGGCCCGCCATCTGCTACAGATGAATCAGTTGCATTCTACAAAGAGAGTGAGAGAGAAATTGGTTTCTAGTTAATCCATAAACTGCCCTGCAAATGTACTTAAATTTTTTATGAATTCAGACTGATAATATTCACTGATTTCCTTTCTGAACCCTCTGGATTCAACTCTAGACTTTCTCATCTCCAACACATTCTCTAGACTCTTTTGTTGTTGATAATGTTGTTGTTGTTTACTGGCAGGTCGAAACAGACCCATAGCTGACCCTCTGGCGGGTTTTCAGAGGCAGTATGGGAGCTATCACTTTCATACACATATACATATACATATGCATATACATATACATATACATATTTCATATACATATAGTAGCTGGTGGCCTCGAGCTGTGTACCTTTGGGATTGCAGAAGAGCTTCTTGCCACTAGGCCACCAGAGCTTTCCTTTTTTCCAGTAAAACACTTACATGGCAGTATCACAAATGAATTCTTTAAAGATAATAATGTATGAAAAGTACCAAATAATTATAATAAACTAAGAAAAGTTTTCGAGTCTCATTTTTAAGAACACAACAAAATGATTCTACTAGAGAACACTGCCCCCCTATGGCACAGGTCTCTTTACCAGCAACTTAAGTTCTCCAATGATATTATTATGTGGGCTTTGCAAGAGAGGTAGGAAAACCATTTTTTCAAATGACTCGATTTTACTTTGCAAGAATAAAACAGTTTGTGAATGTGTAAAGGATTTGTAGCAATTACTACTAAAAAAGCTAACTTTAGGACAAATAAAATATTTAATATGGAAAAACTTATTTCCATTACCTATAAGGAAAAACTGGGGGAAAAAAACCCTCATGAAAAAAGAAAAAATCACAAAACTATAAGACAAAATAATAATTCCCATCGAATCTCAGTAAGTGACTGAGTTAGGGAATAATTCACAGAAAATACAGATAGAATAGTAGAATTTTGAAACCACTTTGATAAGAAGAATAAAAGTGGTTCCATTTTTTTTTAAAGCCAAGGCCATAAGAACTTCATTTTCTTTTCATCTGAGATACTTCACTTTTTGTTGCTTTAGTCAGTAAATTGTTTTCTGTTATCATTTCACGTGTTCATCCTGAGTTTTAATGTCCTTTTCATAGTGGTCTTAAGAATCAAAACTGGTAGCCCTTTACCACTCTGTTGATTTTGACTCGTGAGGAGCCCTTGAAACATCCTAGAACTACCCTCTAGAGTTTCCATATATATTCTTTATGGAAGGAGAGTACCACATATTTCTCTCTAAGAGTGACTGGAGGGTTCAGGCTATCAATCTTTTGGTTGGCTGAGTGTTTAACCACTTGTAGCCAGTCATTTTTGTCAACGTGTGTGCTGCTTGACTTGTCCCAATTGGTAAATGGATTCTCACCACAAAATTATTAACACATAGCTATACATTGCTCCTGTATTGTGCTTATCTTCTGAAAAAGGTGTGAATTCCCAGCAAATTGAACAGAGTTAAAGCAATACCTCAATCATTCAGTCAATAATTCACAAAAATAACACCAGATCTTCTCAAAAAGACTGTAATCCAGAGATCATAGCCTATCACAAATATAATTGCAAGTCAACTTTAATCACCTTCAACCCTGAACAAGTATTATTGAAAGGTCATACTTACAAGATACTCCTTTAGGATCTGTATCTCATTCCAAAAACTGCCCTCGCAATAGCAGCTGGAAGAACCCAAAATGATGCAAAGCTGAAGAACCAAGAAATAACTTGTATAATTCATTGTTTAAGAGAGAGGCCGAAGTCGCTGCAATTCGTAGCTCCTGCGTGAAGTTGGTCAGCGTGAAAGATTTGGCTAATCTTTCCTCCTAACAGCTGATCTGCCAGTGGTCAGAGCAATGTGTCACATCTTCTTCAGCTTCTGATATTTATACCTGACTGAAGTCTCATCAGGATTACGTATTTTTCACAAGTTGGCTTTTTTTTTTTTAAGATGAGATGGTGACAGATAGGCAGGGATGCTAGTTACTTTGCATTATTTATGGTTTGTGGCATTTTGGGGTTGTAGTTAGAATTTCCTTTCAACTCCTTGGGTCTTCAGATGATGAGGCAGACCTACTGTATCCACCTGTACCATTTTTGCGGGATCCTTTGAGAGCATTTTTTCTTCACACCATTCAGTGGCTGGAACTTTTCTTTTTTTCCCCCTCTGTCACCGCTTTCCTTTGCCTTTGCCAAATCACATTGATCATTGTTTGTGGTTTGGAAGAAGTGAAAAAGGAAATTCTAAGGGGTCTCAAACCTATACAAAGGGATGGCAGATGACTTTAGAAATGTTTCTTGTAAAGAGTCAGAAAGCAAGGAAAGAATGTGGTTGAAAGACAAATGTGGTGAGGAAGCCCTTTATCACTATTTGTCAGTGAAATACCTATCAAAAGTTTCAAATTGTTTTAGACCAGTGTTGCCCAGTAAAAATATAATGTGAGCCAGAGAAGCAGTTTTAAATTGTCTAGTAGCCCATTATGAACTCTGGTTGCCTAGGGGTTGGGGAGTTGCACTGCCAACCCAAAGGCACACAGTTCAAGTCCACCAGCTGCTTCATGGGAGGAAAATAGGAAATCTCCTCTGTATAATTATTGCTTCTAAAAACCAACTGGAAGGTTAGCTATAAGCAAATTCCAACCCAACAGCACATAGCAATAATAACAACAATAGTAGTCCATTAAAAAAAGTGAACAGAAGCAGGTAAAAATGAAGTATCAATTACATAATATTTACATCAATTACATCAAAAGCATCCAAAATAAGTTATTAAAGATATATTCTGTAGTCTTTCTCTCCCATTAAATCCTTTAAATATGGTATCTGTTTTGCACCTACAACATGTCTCAATTTGGATAAGCCATGTTTCAAATGATCTTGGGCTTGCTGTAGAAGATCAAGTCTTCAATATGGACTATGTATCAACCTCAAGAAAAGAAAAATCCTTACTACTGGGCCAATATATGGAGGAAAGATTGAAATTGTCAATGATTTCATCTTACTTTGATCCATAACAAATATCCTTGATACCAGCAGTCAGGAGATCAGGAAATATACAGCATTGGAAAAGGCTGCTGTCCTGGGAAAGTTCAACCCCTAAAGAGCAATGTCAGTGTAAAGACTGAGGAGCACTTGATTCAACCATGGTCTTCCCAATCACTTGTCGTGCATCTGAGAGCTGCAAAATGAATAAGGGCACACAAAGAATCTATGCCTTTGAGCTGAGGATTTGGAGAAGAATACTGAATATCTCATTGTGGTGGTGTTGTGTACCATTGAGTCCGAACCCACCCATAGCTGGCCCTCCAGTGGGTTTTCAGAGGCAGTTAATCACATGGGAGGAGATTTCCCATCTTTCTACTGCAGAGCAACTGGTGGCCTTGAACCACGTGCTTTCAGGATTGTGGCACAGTTTCTTGCCACGAAGCAAGCAGAGTTCATGGACTGCCAAAACAACAAACAAATTTTGTAGAAAGTGTAGCCAGAGTGCTCCTTAAAAGTAGTGAATCTTCATCTTACATATTTTAGGCATGTTGCTAGAAAAGGCTATGCCTTGGAAAGGGACCTCATGTTTGGAAAGGGTTAGCAAAAGAGAGGAAGACCCTCAGCAAGTTGGACTGACCCAGTGGTAATGGGCTCACATAGGTCAGAAAGGATGAAGATGGCACTGAGTAAGACAGGGTTCTGATCTGTTGTTCACAGGGTCGTACTGGACTTGATGGCACCTAACAACATCAATAACATTTCATTTGATTAGTAACAAATTGTGGCAAAAAAAGAAAGAAAAATATTTTTTTTAAAAAAAGAAGAAGCTAAAAGGATTACAAAGTCACTATGCCAAAAAGAATTGGCTGACACAGAAGAATATCATGAAACAACATATGACTAAGTTTTATTAGACATTGTAGTTAATTTTTAATTACTTGTAGCTAAAGTTATAAGACAGAATGTGTGAATGGAAAAAAAAATTGTAAACTTGCACTCAGATATTTTTCTAAAAAAAAATGCAAATATACCACCTTTGGGTCAATCTCAAGCATTAGTGAACCTCCACTTGGTTTCCAAGGCAATAAATCTTTATCGATGGAAACTTTCCTTGTCTTTCTCCCACACAGTGGCTGGTTTGTTAACACTGTCAATCTTCCAGTTGTTGTAGTCTTTGTGTACCAGCAAGTAAAAATTGACTTATAGCTAACACTTCACTGGGTTTTAGAGACAATAAATCTCATAGGAAAAGAGTGTCCATCTTTCTTCCACAGAACAGCTACTAGATTTGAACTGCATACCTTTGCACTGGGCAATTCCTTACCACTAAATGACCAGAGCCCTCTTATCTTCTGATTAGTAGCCTACACATTAACTTTCTATGCCACCAGTGCTGGTGACTTACCATATTTTTTACTAGCTTTGGCTACTGTCTTGGAGAACTCAGGGAATGAGTTACAATAAATAATTGTTAATAATAGAGAAAAATTTTTTAACCTTTTAAATTTCTTTTCTATTCAAATACAAAATACAAGATTATGCCTCTTCCTTTAGAGAACTCTCGTGGCATAACAAAGCAGTGTACTGCTAACCCAAAGGCCATGGGGCTCTGGTGGCCTGGCGGTAAGAAGCTACACCATAATTCAAAGGCATGCAGTTGGAATCCATCAGCTCCACCATG